AGCCGGTGACCTACTTGAGTTGGTCAGGATTCTACTTCGTCACCGGCCAAGACCATCGAATCCCCCGTAGATTAAGTTTGCCCTTTTTACCTATAGTTTACAATAAATAAATAAATAATAAAATATAAAGTTTACCTAGTGATCTTATTTATTTTGTATTTGGGAATTAAAATAAAATAAATAAAATGAAACAAAACGATTTTTTATCATTCGATTTAAAACAACCAAGGCCAGAGAAATTCTTTCCATTCGGACAACCAAATTAAAATTTTCTGAAAACGAAACCAGCAGTAGTCGAGACTCGAACTATTTCTTTTTTGGTGAATAACATTAGCCAAGTCGGGAACCACGCCCTCGCGGTGGCAAGAATTAGCGAAGTTTCAAACCACTTTTTATGGGAAAATGTTGAATTAACAAGTTACTCACCAAAAAGGAAATGGTTCGAGTCTCGACTACTGCTGGTTCGTCAGTAAGTGTAGCCACCTACTAGGCGTTCCTGTTCGCCTGGTATCTAACATTGAAAATCTATCTTTTTCTCCTACGGAATTGGTTGTTTTCGACCAAACTTTAAGATTTGGATACCCACCTGCTATGAATTTCTGCTCGCCTAGTGTCTAAAATTAAGAAATCGCCCAGATTTCTCAATTTTTAATAAAAACCAAGTAAACCATCCATAATCATTTTATTTCATTTTAATTTTATTATCGCCAATAATTCAGCTCCTTAATAACTAGGATTATCATTATAACCTACATATTATTATTTTATATTATATTATATTATAGTACATTATATATTATATTATATGTTTTATTATATTACTTATAATAAAAACTATACTATAAGTTAAGATAAACATATAGTAGGAAACTTAGCTATTATTATATTATGTCTGAATTATTGAATATAATAAAAACTAACTAATGAAATTATTGTCTGTTTTAATGTGGTAGGCGGGTGGGGAATTTGAAATACCAGGCAGCCCCCTAATTGTAGCAGAAAGCTTCTGTCAGTAAGCAATTATTTGGTATTGATTTTGGCTGAAAATGCAGCCCCCTAATTGTAGCAGACAGCTTCTGTCAGTAAGCAATTATTTGGTATTGATTTTGGCTGAAAGTGCAGCTTCCTAATTGTAGCAGACAGCTTCTGTAAGTAAGCAATTATTTGGTATTGATTTTGGCTGAAAATGCAGCCCCCTAATTGTAGCAGACAGCTTCTGTCAGTAAGCAATTATTTGGTATTGATTTTGGCTGAAAATGCAGCCCCCTAATTGTAGCAGACAGCTTCTGTCAGTAAGCAATTATTTGGTATTGATTTTGGCTAAAAATGCAGCCCCCTAATTGTAGCAGACAGCTTCTGTCAGTAAGCAATTATTTGGTATTGATTTTGGCTGAAAATGCAGCCCCCTAATTGTAGCAGACAGCTTCTGTCAGTAAGCAATTATTTGGTATTGATTTTGGCAAAAAATGCAGCCCCCTAATTGTAGCAAACAGCTTCTGTCAGTAAGCAATTATTTGGTATTGATTTTGGCTGAAAATGCAGCCCCCTAATTGTAGCAGACAGCTTCTGTCAGTAAGCAATTATTTGGTATTGATTATGGCTGAAAATGCAGCCCCCTATTTGTAGCAGACAGCTTCTGTCAGTAAGCAATTATTTGGTATTGATTTTGGCTGAAAATGAAATACCAGGCAGCCCCCTAATTGTAGCAGACAGCTTCTGTCAGTAAGCAATTATTTGGTATTGCAATTATTATTTGTAGCAGACAGCTTCTGTCAGTAAGCAATTATTTGGTATTGCAATTATTTGGTATTGCTTACTGACAGAAGCTGTCTGCTTTAATTAGGGGGCTGCATTTTTAGCCAAAATCAATACCAAATAATTGCTTACTGACAAAAGCTGTCTGCTACAATTAGGGGGCTGCATTTTCAGCCAAAATCAATACCAAATAATTGCTTACTGACAGAAGCTGTCTGCTACAATTAGGGGGCTGCATTTTCAGCCAAAATCAATACCAAATAATTGCTTACTGACAGAAGCTGTCTGCTACAATTAGGGGGCTGCCTGGTATTTCATTTTATTCTTCCAAAATTCTGATTCCGATGCTATAAACACCCAAAAAAGTTGAAATTTTGCCATTTTTCGCAAAAAATGACGATGTTACCCCTTAAGAAAATTCTGAAAAATGGCCAAAAATCATTTTTTTTTTAATCGTCCAAAAAGTGATTGGGCTCGTTAACTGTGGTCATAAGGTGCTGAATATACTTGTTGCTGGCTTGAATGTCTGCGGCCAATTGGTGTGAAATTGGTTATGAAATTACAAATTAGACAAATAATTTGCAATAACATAAAATTGCGACTATAATTAAAGATCTAAGCTGTCCTATCTCTCAAGTTGGATCAGACTGCTCACGGTGTGCCAATTTAATTTAAAATCCGTTAAGTAGTTTAGGAGTCCATCGCGGACAAACATCGTGACAGGAGATTTATATATATTAAGAAGATTATATGCTATATTATACATATTATATTATATTATATTATATTAATAAATTACCACTCCAATGTGTGTGCTGCTATTAGGAATTCATCCATTTCGCTCTCAAAAGGGTTGCATGCCGACTGTATTGTCTCAATATGGCTAATACGGATTTGTGGGACAGCTGTGAAACAAATTTGTTTGCGATGCAGATCTGTATAAATAAATAAAAAGCCAACACAGGTATTTTTAATTATTATCTTTTCTTTTATTTAGGTTCATTAATTTTTCATTTCTTGTCAGTGTTCAGTAATCTTTCAAATTGTTTTATTTCTTTTGTCATTCGGTTTTGTTTTAATCCCAACAGATTGACTTTTGTTTTTGGAATTTATTTATTAAACTTACTCTTGCATGCAAATATTTATTTGAATTTCTTTTCTCTTGCTTTTCAGGGTAGATTTTCATTTATTACGGTTTTCACATACTTAACTACACATATATACATAGACTATACATATATATATATATATATATATGTATATATATATGTATGCATATGGTATTCTGAGACTGAAGAAACATATCTGAAACAATAACAAAACAACTAAAGCCAGCTCGTAAATTAATTTGGCGTGATTTCGCCTGGGCAAGCCCCTTACGTTAATTAAGTTCAGTGGTGTGAAATTTGCCGATTTTCCATCGCAGAGTTTGAAGTATTTTTGGTTTGAAAACTTTGAAATTTTATTCATGCCAATCGCTTCCTTGTGTGTTTGTAAATGTAGGTTCCTCTGTACATATAGTTTTACTTGTGGTTGAGCCTTTTTTTAAATATAATTGTATAAATTTCCAAAAAAAAAAAAATGCCTAGCTGTTTTCCCAGTAACGCCAGCGTTACGTGATCTATATGTATATACTATCTCAATTTTCCAGCCGATTGAGAAACCGACTAGCGAACGAAAGAACCCGTTTGCCGTCGGTATTTCAAGCGACATGTCCTTTTCATTTTTCTAACAACCGTCGTCGCCAGCGCACATTTAATGGTATAATTTTTGTGTTTTAAGATCCTTTATACCCTTGCAGACGGTATTACGATTTCAGTCAAAAGTTTGCAAACACAGGGAAGGAGATACCTTCGACCCCATAAAGTATATATATAAGTGTGTACTGAATTAAAGAAAGAAAGATTTTAAAAAAATCTATATAAAATGAAGGGTAAACTATATTGCCGTTGTTTTTTTTAGCATACAAGCAAAGTTTTCGGGATAAAATACTTTCTAAAGAAAAATTTCAAAAATCGGACGACTATATCACATAGCTACCATTGGTGATTATTGAAAACTTAAAAGATTATTATTTAAAAATATACCTTCGTTGTTGTTTAACGTACATGCAATGCATATAGCATGGTATATAGCAATTTTTAGGTATTCGACTTTAATTTTTTTGCCATCGAAAAAATAGAAAATTGTGGAAAATATTGTAAATTTTTTTTTTTTAACATATTGAATTTGGAAATTGCTATACGGTGCAAATTTAGTTTTCAAATTAAGCTGCAAGGGTATAATAGCTTCGGCTTGCCGAAGCTAGCATCTCTTTCTTATTTTTTTTTGTTTTTCCTGTGGTTTTGGTATTTTACCAAGTTTGGTAACAGATTTTTCTTCGGCGCTTGCATTATAAAGGTATAGATACATATATTTTATATATTTTTATGTAAAGATATTAAATTATCTCAAAAAAATGTTCTCATTTACGGCTAACAGCACAACAAACAGTTATCATTTCGGATTTCTTTGGTAACTTTACTCGTAGATCCAAAAAATGTGTCCAACCTGTGCTACAAATGCTGATCTTCCGATACCCATATAAATATTTACTTGTATGTATATGTATAATATTATTTTATATATGTATGTGGGTATCATTAATGACACATGGCGCTACATAACTTTATCTGTGCATATATGCGTTAATTAATTTATATACACTGATATAATTGGCGGTACGTCAATGGGGAAAATCAGATAACTTACAGGGAGCCTCAACTGCACGATTAAATTCAGTCAAAAATGAAGAGGAAAGGTTGGCTAACATAGATTTCTATATAACTTCCTGGTAGCTCGATTTCACTTTCGCATGCCTAACAATTACATTTAGATACTTTTCGCCGTTTAACTATAAATTGCTTATGGGGCTCATTCTCCGGGTGGTTTTTACTGGGGGCAGGTCAGGACCTAAACTTTATCGAATTACACATACACGTACAGATGTTGGTTAGGTTAAGTTTCAACTCGAGTATACATCAAATGTCCATTACTGCACATATGCCTAGTATATATCTATATAAGTTGGTATGCATATGCATAAATGTAAATGTTCGGTTAATACCTTGGTAAATTACATAATTGTATAGCTACGCACGTACCAGTATATGTAAGTGTTTCGGTTGGGGAATCTCTCTAGATTTATCTGGCTTTGTGGCTCTATAAAAAGTTGTTTCTCCGTGTTGCAAATACAAGAAAAGTAGTTGATTTTCTTCCGCTTTTTTTAAGACAGGAGAAACAATCATTAGGTTTTCTCTTTATTTATTTCACTCAACTTGTTAAAGTAGATCTTTGTTTTTTGTTTTGCTTATGCTTGCCATGGACTCGACGTCATTTTAGTTTATTTGTTTTCGTCGCAACTATGGTTTAATTAATATTATATGTATGTAGATTATATACTTTGCTGTATTTGCTGAAAGTCGGATTGGGTTTCGAAAAAAGTAAATCTGAAGCTCGCATTTACAATGCTGCTCAAGTTGCTATAAAGTATCTTGTTATTCAACTTTTTTAATGATATTTTTAGACCATCAAGGTTCCATTTCATTTCATTACATTTCATTCACATATCGTATCATAGATATATATTATAATTAAAAAAAACAATATTTTTAGCGCGGATCCTGCCCGCTTAAACACAAAAGAAATGTGTAGCACTATGTCTGAAAAAAAAATATTTTGGATAATAAATTAATAACAATAAAAAATATAATATTAAACAATAGTTCAACTATGCGCTTTAGAATTTGGCCTGCCACATTATTCGATATGCGCACCAGCGCCTGAATCGTGACTTTGCATATGCATATGCATATGCATACAGTTACATCTATATATATCCGTACAGGTAAGTTAAAAATAAGTGTACTATAGCCAATGACATTTTCGGTTTTGACTTGTTTTTCTTTGTTTCTGTGTGTGTTTGTTTTGCTTTGGTTTTGCATTGTTTTTCATTGGGGAACTAAAAGTTGTTTGTGCTTAAAGAGTCTTTTCTAGTGGTTTTGATTGTAAATTGTGTGTGTTTCGCCGGTAAGAGTTGTTCACTAAATTCATTAATTTCCCTCCTTCTCTATTTCGACTTAGTGTTTCTGTCTCTTTCGTTTTTGAGTTGTGTGGATCAGTAGTAGCTTAGTAACTAGTAAATAATGATATAAGTAATTCATAGCGAAAACTATTTGCGAAGACAGCATTTGACATTACTTTGGGTTTTCCCTCTCTCTCTCTCTCTCTTTCTCTATTCCATCTTCTCTCTCTTTCACTGGAAGCAAATCATATTACAATGTTATTTGAAAATTCAATTGGAAATCCTTTCGATAATAGTACAACACTGTTTCCTTTCCATCGTCTTTACCAATTATTTCCCTATTTATGCGTTTTTGGCTTTGTTTTCATATAGTTTTAGAGTTTAAGTCCTTGGCTGCAATACTTACTAGCCACTTGATTTAAATTCGAGTCCAACATTTAAAATATTTACAAATAATATTAAAAAAAAAATGGTATACCATATATATAGCTATACAACACAGTCTGGCTGTAGACTGTTTTCGTTCTCTTTTTTGTTTGGGGCTTTAGGTTTAGGTTTAAATGGTTTTAACTGAAATTGCTTTTCAATTTTTGTTTAATTCACTAGGGGTGTTGGTGTTGCACATGGTCCAAATCATACAAAACTTCATATGTTACTTGGAACAAACGGTATCAATTGAGTAAAATGAAAAATTTCGGGCATGCAAACATGTAAAACTTAGAAACTTTGCTTAAGCTAAAAACCTATGTATTATTTCTTCCAGTTAGTTATTCTTTTTTTAGTAGTTCATTTTAGTCAATGGTTTAAAAGAGGAGACTTGGACAGTTAGGGTTTACTTCAATTGAAGTCCGAGTTCAGATGAATTAAACAGAAATTATTTGCCTACATAAAAATCGTCTATATAATAGAGTAAGTTTTTGGGGCGGGAGTTTTGGTATTTCCTAGTATTACTTATTAATTGTTTTTCTCACTTTTGTTTTCTTGTCTTGGTTTTAGTGTTTAGTGTGTGTGTGTTTAACAATATAGGGGTTTTTCTCGAATTCTGCTGCTTTCAGTGTGTTCAACATTGATCTCGCTTTTGTAATTAGTAAATTGTTACCTTCTTGCTTCATGTTTCATGTTTCTCTAGGCTTTATAGGTTTAATGGTACTTTTGCTATTGCTGTTTGGATTTTGTATGCTTTTAAACATTTCTTAAATATTTCCTTAGTTTGCCTTTTTGGTTTTAGTGTCGTTTTTTTTTTCCTTTTTTCCCAAGAGTTTTTCTTTGTTTTTTTTTTGGTTTTTTTGGTTTTGGATTTGTTTTTTTTCTTTGTTTTGTGTTAATAGTAGTCACTAACGTAATAGGAAAAAGTTGTGAGCCTTTTCCTGTAATTTGCGATAAACTCCCACGACTCTCCGTCACATTGCACCGTGTTGCGGTTGGTTTTGGCAGCCACCCGTCCCGGGTGCCACGCCCCCGCCTCCACCTCCGCCTCCGCCCAAGCCAGTGGCGGCGGGGGTTCCGGTGGTGCCGGTGGTGCTGCTCTCGCCCCCGCTCTCCTCGCCCTCCTCCAGCTCGGCGATGTTCTCCTGGTCGGACTCCTCCAGGGTAACCTGTTGGGTGTGGGCTCGGGATTAGTACGGGAACAAGACGGGTCAAGACGGGGGTCTTGGGGTATGGGGTTGGTTGCTCAAGGCCTCCACCGGCTGACACCGGCTGCTGCTCAGTGCCGCGTGTCAGTGGCGGATCCTCGGCCGCGGGCGGAGCTCACTTGAAAGCGGATCCTGTCCTCCTGCGGGTTCTCGTCGACCCCCGACGGCGGCGGCGAGGGCGGTATCATGCTCTGGTAGTAGTCTCTGTTCTCTTCAAGCGTGTCGAGTATGTCCTGGGCGTCCGGGTGCACCAGGTCCGCCCAGGTCTCCCAGAGCGGGTGGACGATGTAGTCGATGAAGCCCACCTGCGACTTCTCGATGGTGGCGTTGTGGCGGTCGCACATCGGGCTGATGTCCATGCCCGACTCGCGCTCCTTGTCGCCCTGCAGGAAGAACTCCTCCATGAGCAGCGCCACCCAGCGCTTGTAGAGCGGCAGCGGCTTGGTGGGATTGCTCAGATCGGCGCAGTGCACCAGGTTCTCGAGCACCTGTGGGCATAGAGTGGTTTAGTGGTATATCAGTGGAGTAGTATATGCGGTTCCAACCTGTATGCGGTCGGTGTAGTTGTCCAGCAGCAGCACCCCGGACCCGGCCACCTTCTTGGTCTCCACCATGGTCTTGAGGTCGGCCAGCAGACTCATGTGCTTGGACATGTCCGTGGAGAGCACGATGTCGATGACCATCTTCCGCAGCGTCTGGCGTTGCTTCCTGGCGAGAGTCACAGTGTTACTTGGCGTCCCACAGGTGCACAGGTGGACAGGTGCAGCGGTACTCACTTTTGCATATTGCAGAATATATCACATCCCTGGTTTTGCAACAGCTTGAAGGCAACGGCTAGGTGGTGGTTCTCCAGAACAGACTCGTCATTGTACATCAGCGCCAGTTCGGAACCTGCGGGCGAAACTCCCCCGATCAGAACAATGCCACAACGCCACCAGAGACCTGCGACAGGGATACCCACTTGAGTTGACCAAGAACTGGTTGGTGAGCCCTGGGTGATCGACGTCATGGATGCAGGCGGCGAACAGGGCCCCGCCCACCTCTAGTGGAGTAAACACGCCCTCCAGAGCCGGCGTATTGAGCAGAACGTTGGTGCTCTGGGTCACGTCGGCGGCGTGGAGCGAGTTGTGAAACGGATTGTCTTTGACGTAGTGGTCCTCCAGAGTAGTCATAAAGTTAAGAAAAGTTTTCGGTGGTATCATAAGACTGGTCAGTAATTCTCTACTCTGTGGGGCGAAACGGAACAGATCAGAACAGATCAGAAGGAGAATCAGAAGCAGAAACAGAAACAGGAATAAACAATTAGTCCATTGCATATGAGTTGGGTTGAGTGGAGGTGCAGTGCACCCACCAGGAACACTTTTAAGAAAGGCTCACCCACCTGAAAAATGGTGTATGCCACACAGGTGAGCGGGCGGTTGACGCTGAATTCGCCGATGCTGAAGATCTGGATGCCCCAGGTGTCCAGCTCACCGAGCAGGGTGCCCAGCTCGTTCTCCCTGGGCGTCTCCACGCCGAACGTGGGCAGCCGCTCGCCGGTGAAGCTGTTGGTGTGCGAGAGCGGCCGCTTCACGCCGCTGATCTGCGACATGGGCGGCCCGCGCGGCGAGCGGGAGCGGGCGTACTGCCCGGCGGACTGCTGGCCGGCGGCGGCGGCATTGGCGGCCACCAGCTCCGGGTTGTCCTCCACGCGCAGCGAGGGCAAGTCGAACTCCTGCTGCTTGTCTGCGAAGGGAGAGGAGAACAGAAGGTCAGGACGAAAGTGGCATAGGTTGCCCCCTAGTTTTGGATCACTGTGTTGGGGGAGCCCGCAATCTCAGCACGCTTTTAAACTACTTGCGTCCACATGCGTGCAATTGCGACACCTTGTTGATTTTTGGTTGCTCTTTAATTCCCTGAAATCGCAGTGAAAGCGACTCACCCAAAAATGTGGAACAGATGTACTCCGAAATCTGGTTGCCCGATCTGCTGGACTCGCTGAAGTGGGACAGCTCCTTGTTCAGCATGCGCTTGAACTGAAACGAAGAGGGTTAAGAAGGGTTAGATGGATCGAGGGCGGTTAGTGGGATCAGGCGAAAAACCAACCTTGAGCGAGGCCATGTCGGAGACGCTGCGATGGGTCTGGATGGTTTCCAGCTGGTCGAGGCACCAGTCCAGCTCCTCGATGGTGTCGGTGGCCAGGCGGGTGTAGGCCTCCTCGCCCTGCGAGAGGGGGGCTCCCGGGGGGTTTCCCGACCGGGAGGCCGACGAGGATTGGTTGGGCCGCCTGGATCTTGATGGATTAATACACAGTTTTGCCGCACACACACACACGCACACACACATACACAGAGGGGGAGGGTTGGGAGGATGGGAGACGGGAGATGGGTGGCGGGTTGGGGTGCAGGTACAACAGACACACAAAGTCATAAACCGAACAAACATTCGAACAAACGAATTAGCAAACAACCGAACAAACGTTTCGGGGAGCGTAGAAAGCCAGGGTTGCAATTAAATTATATATTATGTATATGTATATGTATATGTATATGTATATGTATATGCATATGTATATGTACACAAAAAGATGTGGGTTTTGAACACCGGAATATATAACGTATGCAACGTGTGGCACGATGTGGGTGTGGTGGTGAGGAAAGCACAACATTTAGATTCGCGAATTTGCAGAGGATCGGTGACACAAGTAGACACGTATGCAAAAAGAGAGAGTAGAGTTAGAAAGCGAGAAATAGCGGAAGAGAGAGAAAAAATATTTATATTTGTGAGTTTTTGTTATTATTCGGGGGAAGGTTGGGGCGGGGGTCAACTTTGTGTTTTCACCAATCACTGCAAGTCAGGGTCGTGCTGCTCCTCTGGGGTTAAGGTCTTCGGGGTCGACCCCCATCTTCTGTGCTTAAACCCACTTTTCTCAGAGCGCTTTCAGCAATACAACACAAATTAAACGTTTACAAAGTAACTGCCTAAAGCTTTAAGTCGGAATTTAGTTTGGGTTCCAACTATTTTCAGTCAAATTGCATAAAACGACCATTAAAGTTATTGTTGAAAGAGGGTGTGATTTTGTTGTTTGTTTGTTGTCATTGTGGTCGCTGCTTTGATTAATTAAAGTGTGAGACGACAAAAAAGGCGAGCAGAGAGCAAGTAGCACACACAGGGGTTAGGGGTTAGGTTAAAACACGGTGAAATTCTGTTTTCGGGGTCAAGTACATCGCATATATAGTACACAACAAATTAAATGTCTTCGGGGTTGACAGGGGTGGTTTTGGGGTGGTTTGGGGGCCAGGGGAGTGGGGGTCGGTGGTCGGTGGTCGGAGGCATTGCCAAGGTCACAGCACACTTACTTGTTTGATGCTGGAACATTTGTCAGACTTAATAAATTGTTGCGCACTGAACGTAAGCTGGCTAAAATTTGGGCGAAGGGCGTCACAATAAGATCCTCGCCGTGGCTGTAAAAAAAAATGGGAAGAAGACAGAAACAGGTTACCCCGTAGGGTGTTATTAGTTAAATTTCGGCTTGTGTCCCTTCAAAAAATATTCGCTGTGATTAGCTAAACCAAAAAAGAGAAGCGTGTGTGAAACATGCAAATATTACAAACATGTCACGCCTGTTAACCCTTCTCCATACTTAAAATATTTCGTAGTTGATTATATGATGTACAAAGGACAAACAAATCAGTTTCGGTCAAAAACAAAATTAAGTTTGATATAGTTTTGCATTCTATCACAAATTATAAACATATGAATCGATACGAGAGAAAGCGGCGTATTAAAACATTTGCCACGCCTCTCAATTAACTTTTAATGTTTCACAAACTGTTCTTCTTAAAATGTGTTGGGAAATCTGTAAACGTCGGCCAACCAAATCTTCTTACATCAAGCAAGTTTCGGAGGCTCTTTGATGCATTGCCAAAAACAACGAAAACAAGACCATAAATAACACCAAGAATTTTAAACGAAAATATTTCTAATTTATTTAATTTTTTTTCTTCTTTTTTTATATTGTGTCGGAACTATTTAATTTATGTGGCATTCATTTTGAGTAGAATTTAAATGGCAAAATGTTGTGGAAATTGGAAACGTATCTCGAAAAAGGTCGATTAATGTACCCAACGCAAATAAAAAAATAAAAGAAAGGAAATAAAAGGACGCCATGGCGACGACGCCCAAGTTTCGGTTTCTGTTTTTTGCCAGTTGAAAATTCCAGAGAAATTGTTTAAAACATAAAAATAGAGCAGAATGGGAGGGCGTAGGGAAATCGACTGTGGGCGGGGCGTGATTCGTCGTAATTTTCTCCTTCGCCACTTGGCTCGGAATTTCAGCTGTGTGCCAAAAATAAAACAAAATTAACCCGAAAATTAACGGAGAAAACAAAAATCGAAATGAGCAAAACGAGGAGAACAAAAAACGTTGACAAACAAGAAATGGCATAAATTATAATATAAATAATGATAAAAACTAAAACGCTTAGCACATAAAATCGGACGAATACGACTATAAAGATGAGGGGGCGTATTCGTTGGTGACGTCACAAATAAGTACACAAATTAAAAGCAGAAGACTCGGATTGGCGCCAAAGTATTAATTTGAAGCAGAAGCAGGATCGATCACTTGAATTGCATAATTGATGTTGACCAATCTTTTAATATATGTAGTACTGCTTAAAAATATATTAACTTAAAAAGGGACTAGACTTAAAAGAAATGGCGGTGCGATTTGTCACTCTAAACTTTTTTATTGCCAATTTCCTTTAATTTGTGTTTAAAAATTTCTACGGTACGTCCACCCCAGAATATTTATTATTGTTTTTGCTTCTCCCCTGCTGCTTTGGTTTATTAATAATGCGACGCATTTCCAACACGCCCAGAATTGCCTAGAAAACGTCTCTTAAGTTGAAAACACAAAGTGACTCACTGAATACGTATAACATTAAATAAAAATTAAGAGTTACACAAATTGGAATTTCGGATTCTTTCTTAATATTATAAAAAAAAAAAATTCCCAAACGCAAAAGAAAATCTCAAATCTCATTTCAGAGTAATAAATAATTTTCGATAATTCGGGAAATTAAAAACTAAAATAAATAAACGTTAGGAAGTGCCAGTAAAATAAACTGAGTGGGTAAAAACAGTGACAAGAAAGCACGGAAAGCAAGCATAAAAAATACTCAGAAGGAAACGCGAGTCATAGATCATAATTAATGGAGGCATTTGGAACACGCGGCTGGCTGGGTGTCATTAAAATCGAATACGAGTGTGTTGTTAGTGATTTCTTGAGTTTATCATATTTATAAGTATTTTAAGAGTGAAGGCGAACTATTTTCAGAGCTGACCATACATGGACCCGACATATAGTATGGGGATACATGGGCATAATACCTGCGCTGTGACTTGATGGAGAACATGTTGTCCCGATCGTTCAGAATGGTCAAAGCTAGATCGTCCTGCATTATCGATGGTATCATATTGAAAAAGCTGTGCACTCGCGGCAGCGACTGCGACGATGCTGAGTTTTTGTTAAGCATCTTGGTGGGCTTATTTACAGGATTAAAAATGAAACTATCTCCTTTATTCAGGTAATACTATTCGCCCACATGGGCCCACTTGTTGAATGTTCCCTTTCTCGCGTTCGAAGGAAGCCTGTTACTCGACTGTTTGTTTAGTTTATGCGTTTGGAGCAATCGATTAGCTGATTTCCCTCCGCCACTGGTGGTTTGAGTTTTGGTTTTTCGAAATTTCTACGAGCGACCGCTGACCGCGAATGAAGCGCGTCCCGCGGCAGAAAAATACAGAAACACGGAGGCCAAACACACGAAAAAGAAAAGTTATAATAGATTCCCGTGAGAGCAGAGCGCACAATTTATATTCAACTTAAAAAATATTCCTACTCGTCGCTCGTGAGAGCTTTTATTTTTCTTGTTTTCATTTCGCGTAAGATTTCTGCTTGCTTTTCATCTTCATCAGGCAACAGCATCTGCTCAGTTATTGAAAAACAGGGTGCCTTGAGGATAAATTAAAGTCTTTTTAAAGATTCTTTAGTTTTTGTTGAAATTCGAGTGCATACTAAACAAACTTAAAAGAACTTTAAATGAGATTGAGAGTGAACAAAATTTGGGAAAACTCTACTTTGACACCTTATATGTTCTGTATTCTGTATTCCGTATTCGGTCCGAGGCACCCTGCTGTGGGGAGTACATCCCGATCCCGGCACTTCGTCATCATCATCATTATCGTTCAAACTACAATCATAGGCATTGCAATAAATATGCGGAATGGGGAGAGATAGCTTACGCTCAAATAATTTAATTTTCATTTGCAGAGCATCCTCTTGCGCTTCCGCCGCTCTTCCATCGCACTTACCTACGCTAATGTTTAATAAATTCCCCCACTATATTTGCGTTTGCTTTGCTTGCTGGTTAGTATTAATAGTATAAGTGTGTTTGTTGCTGTTGCCGCTGCTGCAGCTGTTGGCATTTGATTAGCGCAAATTAGTGCGAACCAAAACAACATATATTATATATCCGTGCTCAAATAGGCTATACACATATTTTAATATCTTTTGAATGATAGGGGAAGAGTATGTTCGAATAAAACGAGCGCAGAGGACCTAACAAACAGAGAAAATCGTTCAAAAAATGCTAAATTTAATTTTGGCCGAGCCAGTTTTCCAATTCGGCCCACATTGCGCTTGAGCCGGTAACCGGGCAAAATGGGCCATTATATTATATTTACACCCGGCGTGCTTGGAGTGATTGCAGACAATTGAGCGAACAAAGTTCATTATTTTAACAAGTGCAACTATAACAGCTGTGTACATTTTGTTCACTCGAAGGGGATCCCAACTTTTTTCAGTGCACTCACTGTAGTTAGCAGCCCAAGAATTTCGAATAAGCGCTCTGGGGGGAAATTAGTCACAATCTAAATGCAGTTGCAGATTTAAGGCATTTTCGCAATCATGCAGTTGCTGAGCAACCACAACTTTCGCATTTCGCAGTTCGCAGTTCGAATAAGCTGCCTTTGCAACTGGGACACCTGAAGAGCTCTCGCTGGTCCTAATAAATTAAGTGCGTTTCAGCCTTTTGAATCCTAATAACTCTGCATTTAAGCAGGAAATATTATTAAATATTATTAATCCGACTAGATTTGGGTGCATCTGCCCACGATATTATAGCACTCAATTTGCATATTACACCGGTTCAGTTCAGCACATTCATTTTCCATTTTCCATTTTCCGTTTTCGGTTTCACTTCTTCCCCAGCCTGCCTGCATTTCCATACCACACACAGTGTGCTATAAAAAGAAATATCTTTTTTCACCACCGGCTGCGAATGACAAATCTGCAATGTGCACTGCACTTTCGAGTATAGATCTAGATGTATGTACATATCTGTGCGAGTCACACAAGTAGGTAAATGCACATTTGCAGGGCTATATGCATATTAAAGCTATAATTATGTGCCCGCAATCACGAGCTCTCACGAGTCGCACTCGGGCACTCACAGATTCACAGTCTCGCAGATTTCAAGACATTCGAGGTGCTGGCTGGCAAGCGAATTGATTGCAGGAAATGTGTTTATTCAGTTGAAGCACTTCTTTCTGCTGCCCCATCTCGAGCCACGTTTCAAGAGTTGTTTTTGGTCTTGTTCCATTTCTGTGCCAGCTTTCCAGCTTGCCAGTTTTCCAGCTTTCCAGCTTTCGAGCTTGTGCCACGCTGCGTATGAGTTTCCGGGGATTTTCGGGGGATAGTTCCCCTCGATTGACTTCTGGGAGCAATTATTCCGTTTTATTTATTTCCTTCGTGCACACTTTCCGTTCTCTAGCACTTGGGCAGTGGGACAGGAAATAGAAAATGTTTTTGTATTTAAATTAGCTCGGCCTGTGCTCAATAATGCCCCAGATGTCAGCGTCATTCGGTGTGCGCAATTTTTTTTTTTTTTTTTTGGCCTCGTGACTGTCGAATCAATTAAAGTGACTCAACGGAAATCGTGAAAAACATCTAAGCGTCAGGACAAAAATCGTAATTTCTATTAGCGTTAACCGTTCATTGGGTTATATTTCTTTGGGATTTCTGGGAGACAATTGATTTAAGCAAAATATTTCACATTTGCTTATTTTGAATGCATGTATAAGAGACTTTTTAAAGAAGTGTTCTTTTGCAAAAATGTAACATATAAAATTCATGATTAGTTAGTTTCCTCTTTTAAATAAATAAATATTTCCTAGTAATTGGCATGCATAACAAATGAAGCATAACTGCAAGACTCGGAAAACGCGCTTAAAGGCAACATGTTAATTTTCAAAAATTGTAGTTTTATATTCTATAAATATAAGATGAGAAAATAGCATGCAAATCACGAGGTGCGTGGCGATAAGGACAAAAAAACAACGACAAATATACAAACATCAAATGCAAAGGCAGGCAAGACATAACGACAAAGATAGATAGATAGATAGATAAATAGATATATAGATAGGTTGAGAAAGACAGAGAGAGATAGAGAGAGCGATATAGGTAGATCAGATCTCACGGAATACGTACGATCGGTCAACGAGTATAGAGGCCTCCTGTTCTTTAAACCTGGAAAAAGGGTTACAATCTTAATAAACAACGATAGTACAGACAACAATCATCAAGGTTCACAAATAAAGAGGCGAAAAGAGGGGGAGTACGGGAAAATGTTGGGAAACATATTGGGAAAATTATTGATATTGTAGCAATGAACGGTGGAGGGGAAAGAGGCTGAGAAACGCCAAAACAGAAAGTCAAATCAAACATAAAAAACATGGAATCAAGGCGGAACAAAGATATAACAAAGATAATACATAAGCGTATCGAGTTTAAACGCTTTAAGTGTGTTTTTTAATATTAATAATTAATTAATAAATATTAATTAAATCGATCACAACTAAATATAAATTTGGTTGCATGGAATTGCAATTGAACTAACAATATCAGTTTTTCGACATCAAATGAGAAGGGACACGTAACAATCATTTTTAAATTCTTTGTTTTAACGCCACTTTATTCTGCTTATTATAATATTGTAAGGCGATGCTTGCTTTTTCCTCAAGATTCTTAGTGGACCTATAGCTTGTGACCCGTACATTTAATAGAGCACATTAGAGCATCCTGTTTTGTAAACATTTCATTATAAATTCAAGTTAAAATCCACTTTCAACTAACTTTTAACTTTGTGTGTTGCTCTGTGTGTGTCTTCCCGAAACCCCAATTTATGCGTCACGTGCAACCAAATGCTTAGTGGGTGAGGGCGTGTGCCACAACTGGGGCGATGGAACGATGGGGCGATGGGGTGATGGGTCGAGAGTGGGCGGAAGGGGTGGACTCCCCTGACGATTTTCGCTGACGCAGACAATGACCCCCGCCGCATATATCAGCGCAAATCCAGCTTCATGACGTCATTCCACCTCGTGGCAACAATCAAACAAACAAACAGAGAGAACGAACCGAGAAAAAGAAGAGCTGGCTGCACACAAGTTGAAGTTAAAGCGTTGACATTTAAGCTTACGACTTGGGAACGTTCTAGTCGCCACCCACGGCTGCAAGCCCCTTTGACAGCGGACCATTTGCGTCGCCCATTTGTCTCCTCGGTTCACAACTCCGTGTGCAAATGTCATTGGGCGCAAATAAAGGCCCACAGGAGGGAGGTGGTGGTTAATGAGAAGGGGGACGCGAGGGCCCTTATATAAGCGGCGGCCTGCTAATCAGACTTATTGACCTTTGGCACTATGTGGCAAGCTTCTTGTCGTTAAGCGATGCAGAGAGCCCACAAATGTAATCGCCTATCCAAATCCAGTGCCAATTCAGAAAGACAATTGGTAAATAATCTAGCACTTGATAGGAGCAAGTACCATAAAATGAAAGAAACTTAAGGAAATTCCGGTTCAATTATTGTCTGCACATTTTTACTCATACAGCTATTTAAAAGGTCTTAGCACCTCTGACAGGACTTTAAAGGAGTTTTGTGGGGATTAGGATTGATTTAATACCCGGCGAGGAAGTGTCCCCACTCGGCAGACGGCGACTGTTTATTCATCATTGCTCTGTGGACTCGCACAAGCAATTGTACTTAATCTCATCTATTATTGTGGCCATGAATATGTGCGGGCCTTTGGGTGGTTGTCCGAAAACGTGAGAAGGAACATACCAAACGGATGCCGCCAACAGAATATTATGACTAATTGTGAGTTGTTTTGCCCAATGGGACCTTGACATTTACGCGGAAAACAAGAGCATCGAAAAAGGTGGGTGGTGGGTGGTGGGTAGGCATGTCAGCCTCGGATATTTGGCTAATTATTTGTTATTAGTGTTGAAGTCTTTATGAAACTCGTCGTCGGTCTGAGGTCTGGTTCCGCTCAAGAGCCAGTGCGAGCGAGTGTGTAATTGACAGCTTATCAGGAACATTGTTTGAAAGTGGCGGCCCCTAGAAAAATTCCATCTGATTGAAAGCAAACACAGCGTGCGCTGAAAGGTGGAGATTTTCACGATTTCCCCGCTGGGTTAAAATGGAAAAGAGGGACAGTTTGGCAGGCCGAAAACTTTGAAAGCAGACAAAGGTTGTCGGCTTCCCATTCGAAAGAAATGCAAATTGCGTTGCTGTCGCCTGCCAAAAACATTTGACCGTAAAGAGAAAACTACAAAAAACCTGCGGAAAACCACAACAACAACAATGGCCAAGAAGGTCAAACGTCTGGGAGCTAAAACATACGTGCTCGAATTTAAATCGAGTTAATTTCACAATCCACTATGGATAAATAAGAACCTACAATTTTCAGTGGCAGTTTTTCCAAATGTTTTGAATAGTCGGTGAGCTAATAAATTTGTATAATACACCCGAGTATATTTCCTACCTATATTGATTTGGATGGTGATTGTAATTTTGAGTTTTGTTGGATTGCGCGAGGTTCTCCCAAGCTCTCAGTCTTTTTGGGTGGAAATATTTGGATTTTTTGCTGCCCTGTACTTCAATGAAAATGTAAAAACTAAAGGGGCAATGGAAAGCTCCCTCCAAATATTTTGACATCCTTTGCCCCTCCTGGTTGTTGTTGTTGTTGTTGTTGCTGTTGCAGCTGCATGTGTAATTAGGTGTTATTGTTTTGGATCACAACACAACTGTATGTGTGTGCTAGACTGCTCGTGGGTGCGTATTGTTTTTTCCGAGTGTGGTCCCATTGCCTCTGGCAAACCAAACAGAAACAAATAGTTGTGGTTGTGCAGGGAAAAGCGCCCAAAAACACAGCAGTCCAAAGGGTTGCAAAAAAAATTTCAAACACACAGCTAAATAAAAGCAACAACAAAAATATTGCATTTCCGGCTGTGACTAACTAATTTAGCTTGCGGCCTTAGGCTCTATCGAGGAAGTATGCTCAGCTTTAGACAGTGTACAATGTGGCAAATCCGGAATTATGTAGGTATGTATATTATTTTTGGCAATTCGTTCTTTATTACAAAAATTCGGAAGAAATTATTAGCCTTTTGAATTTTGGGAGGTTAGAAAAACGGGTTGAAAAGGTGCATTGGAACATAAAGTCCCTAGCAAAGTCACCGAAATCCCACATAGTGAAAAAGAAATTCAGAAGAAAAGCGGGGAAGTGAGAAAAATTCGGAAGGGAAAAGCGAAGGGAAACCGATTGTATTGTTGTAGGCACCACCGGAAACACCTTTAAACGTACTTTAAAAATCAAGTCGGGAATATGTCAAATAAAAAGAGAGGTACCGTAAGCAAAACCATAATCAAAGGCGTTTTGGGATGGGTTTCACAAACATAAAAAAAGGTATTAGACGTGGTCAGTGAAAACATTTTCCGAATTCTAAACGGACGGGTAATGCCCTGGTTCACGATGTCGAAAGTAAAGGGAATCTAGGCAAAATAGCCAAACTAAGAAAAAAAACTAGGAAACTTAAACTGGTCCAGAAGTAATTTCCTTGTAGTCGGGGAAATGAGAGTTGAGTACTGCAGGCTTCTTAAACTTACCTTTCACTAGCGATGCTTGAGTTCCGGGACATGGACTTGGGAGACATCTCGAAGTCGGAATCGGAGCGGTACAAAAACGATTCGCGACGCTGTGGCAAGTTCTGTAGAACCAAACCGGCGCTGGGAGAGCCGCCCTCGAGCGGTGATCGAGCGCCCTGGCCATTTTCTACATCGAAACTGCAAAGAGAGTAATAAAAAATACAATTGTAGTGCTTATCAAACAGCAATGTATTTTTAACTAAAAAAAAAAAGGTTACACTTAAAAAAATGTTCATCAAATTTAATTCGCAATTGAAGAGTCCCAAAAAACACCATCTGCAAGAAATCATGCCAATATACATATAATATTAAAAACAACGGCATAATAATTTTTTTTCCGTTCTTTGCTCGATTTCTCCAATGAGAGCTACCCGATTTGATGAAACCCATTCCAAATTTCCAAAAAGTGGGTTTCCTGAAAATTGACCAAATTTAACAATATATATATCAGTAGAGCTCATAGTTGAGTTTTAGCCATTATTCGTTACTACACTGATATTGTTATAGCTCATATATTTTATTTTAATGCAACTACGCACTCATTATCCTTATTCTCCTCAAAGTAGCGGAGTACTTGGCGCCTGCTTATCCTGTGATTCCAAGGACCTGTCGTAGCACTCTAGCACTCAGAACATTTTCAGAACAAGGGAACAAAAACCAAAACACTCTGGCTCATAAAGTGTCCTGTCACGGACAGTGCACAAAAAACGCATACAAGCCGAACAAAGGCACGAGGGACGGGAAGAAAGGAAGGCTGAAACAATGGAGGTGCCGCCGCGGAGGCCGCAGGGCGTGGGGCATTGAGCGAGAGGGACGGCAACAGTAAATAAATAGCCGCTGTCTAGCGCCGAAAATGCAGAAAGCACTTGGTAGACGATTTGAGTCGAGCACAGTGCCGCAGCGGAGGAGCGCCGAATTGGAAGGAACCCCAAAAAGGAGGACATTATCCACCCCGCAGGATTGGATCCCCGTGATCCGTGCCCAAGGTAAGCGGTGCCTTTCCTTCGCAGGGGCTTCTATTCCTCGCCTTCCAAAATCGTTTTCCTCCTTCATTTTTTGCTCCTTTAAGAACCAAGAGGTCTAAACTGGTTTCCGCGTGGGTCCAATCATTGGAATGTTAACTAATTATTTTTTATGTTGCATATTTGCAGGCGCAACACACACACTGACAGGCTGTCTGTTTACGCATGGAATTTCTGTTTGTGGGTGGTTGAGTGAGTCTCTCTTCATTTAAGCCATGAGGTGCTTTAAGCTTTAAGCCGCACAGGCGCACTTAAGCAGGATAAAGGCGAAAGTAGCTGGCTGGCGGACGATTTGCTTTGTGGTGCCAGGAGAAAGCGAAGGAAGGTGGAGAGGGGCAGAGGTGCACAGGTGCACAGAGGGACAGGATGAAGCAGTCGGGGGAAACGGAAACGTGCCCGCCGGCATCTCTTCATGCGCCTAATTATATGATTGTGTGGGTGTGAGTTTCGAGTGTGTGTGTGTGCTTGTGTAAGTTTGTGTATGTTTGGGTGTGCTTTGTGTGTGTTTCTTTGTGGGTGTGCGTGCCCAAAGAGTTTAGCCTGCGAAATCGCCATGAGCCATTTCAACTAGCAAAATTATGGTTACCTGCAGCAGAACAGGCGAATGATTTCAGACTTAAGACTCGGCATGCATAAATTTTCTTGTTCTTAAATATACGTGCATATTAGTAAAAACATATCCATTTCCTACGACTCGTAATTATTTTTTTAGCATACTGAATTTGTGCCACAGTCGCCCTGTTCAAAATACCTAATAGCTTACAGCTTAGGTATACAAATTCGTGTGCTTGCTACTATTCAAAGATCTGAGAAGGATTTGCAAAAGATTTCACTTGACCACACTCACAATCACACTCACAATTAGCAGCCACAACACATGCACACAAGTGCCGCAAGTCGGGAAACCTTGAGAGCAAATCAAAACCCGAAAAGGATGGAAAAATTGGATAAATTCACCCCAAAGCAGAGTACAGAACCAAAAGGAAATCGCTTGCAAAAGCGGCAGAGCAACCAATTGCAACTGGGTGCAAAAGGGGGCGGATAGAAGGAGAAAAACTGTCACAAGGACATTAGCAAATACCTGACTGACTGCCTCGGAGGTTGGATGATGATGGAAGATGTGAGCGGGAAAACAGAAATTAAAATTGCTAGACGAAATGAAATAGGGACAACAACCTACAAGCCACTCTCTATTCCATTTAATTTTAAAATAAAGGACATTAAATAAATGTATAATTATATTTTGTTTTGATTTTTAGCAATTTAATATTACTCTTCTTAATCAAAATTTAAGGTACCTATTATAAATACAAACATTTCATTTAGGTTCCAGTAGAAAAAATGTTTTTAAAACAAGAACAATTAAAATCCCTTTTCTTTATTTACTGCCGTTGCCTGGAAAATTGTTGAAAGGAGAGAACCTCCCACCTGTAACTAAGCAACCCGTGCCATTCGTTATGACAACCAACACAATTGATTGGAGAAAACTGCGAAGACTGCGTCAGGTAACAGCTAGTCTTCCTGGAATTGAAATATAAAGCAGCACAAGGCTTAAATGAAGACCCAAGGAAAGTACGGAGTGACGGCGACTGCGGCCGCCCAAGTTCTCTGCGAGGACGTGAGGAACTTCAGCACGCGTCGTCGCAACATCCTCTACCTAATGCACAGATATCTGGTGGAGAACGGCTACTACACGAGCGCCGAGTCCCTGAAGACCGAGGGACGACTCTCCAATGAATACGAACTGTGCGACAACATCGATCTGGATGGCATGTACTTGGAGTACGCCAGCTTTTTCAACATGAAGTTCGGGAAATACCCCAAGATTCTCAAGAAGGTGGGCCCGAAAGTCAAGGTGGAAATGGTCGGAAAAGTGCAGGAAAAGAAGGAGACGAAGGAGACCAAGGAGACCAAGGAGCCACCAAAAAGGCCCCCAGTTTCAGAGGCTTCTCTGGCCAACTGGCACTTGGGCGTGGGTGCAGCCACGGCAGCATTGAGTAATGAGCCCTTGCAGATCGTGAAAATGGAAACTTCAGCAGAGGTTTCCGGTCAGGAAAACGCCTGTGAAATAGAGCACGGCCACCTGGGCTCGGATGATGGCCTCTTTTCCTCCTTGGATTGGCAATCGCTGGCGCAACTGGTGAAGAGCTCTATCCTCCAGGAGAATATAAAGATCCGCTGGTCGGATGTCTGTGGCAATCAGCGGGCGATCGAGTTGATAAAGGAAGCTGTGCTCACCCCCATCGAATTCCCCCAGTTGTTCGTGCACGGCTTGAAGCCCTGGAGATCCCTCCTACTCCACGGACCACCGGGCAGTGGGAAGACCTTTCTGGCGAAGGCCTTGTACTCGGAGACCCAGGGACGGGTGACCTTCTTCAACATAACGGCCAGTATAATGGTGAGCAAGTGGCGGGGCGAGTCGGAAAAGATCCTGCGCGTCCTCTTTCACATGGCAGCGAAAAGAGCTCCCTCGGTGATCTTCCTTGACGAAATCGAGAGCCTGACCTCCAAAAGAGACCGGGCCACGGATCACGAGAGCTCCAAGCGCTTCAAGAACGAGCTTTTGCAACTCTTGGACGGCATGGAGCACACCCTAAACGGGGTCTTCGTCCTGGCCAGCACTAACTTGCCTTGGGACATCGACGAGGCCTTTCTGCGACGCTTCGAAAAGAAGCTGCTGGTACAACTGCCCAATCCGGCGGAGAGGAGCTGCCTGATCAGTCGGCTTTTGGGCAGCAGTGTCTCGCTGAACCCGAGACTCCTGGATAAGCTGGTTGAGATCTCCGACCAGTTTACCGGCGACGAAATACGGCTGGCCTGCAAGGAGATCAGCATGCATCGAGTGCGTTGTGCGACCAAAGTCGATCGGTCCATGGCTTCCCCTAAGGAGTCTCAGGCCTCCATCGAAGCCAACGTGGAGGAGGCCTTCAGGCAAGTGCGCCCCTTGGGCCAGAAGCTGTTGGCCAAACACGAGCAGTGGCAGCACGAAAATGGCTCTTAATCGGATTTGTAACTAAGTAACCTTGTAGTCCAATGTATATTTTAAAAGGTATTAAAGCAAATAATAAATAAAGTGGCCTATTGCTCAAAGAAAACTATTTCAAGGCATGCCACTCTCAAATCGGATTAAAATTGACTAAGGTACCCCCCTAACCTCTTGGCTCCCAGGTTCCCTTTACCTGCCCGTGGTGCGTCTCCTGACCCCAGCGATCGTCATCCGGGATACATATCTGCGGATCCGTCCGCTCGATCTGCGCTGCGTTGCACCTATCGACTTGACGCTGTACTCTGTGGCTGTGGAGCTCCTCCGGTCGCTGGTCACTAGATCCGAGCACACCGACGAGGAGAGAATGGAGGCGGCTGATCTCCTTTTGCCGCCGGTGAAGGTTCCTCCGCCGCTCGAGGAAGTAGTGGTGGCGGAGCTGTCTGATCTGGAGAACAGCGAGGATCTCTTCCTCCGACTCGAAGACCCTGTGCCCGCTGCATCCTGGATGTTGCTGTAGAACTCCTCGGTCTCCCGGTCGTGTCTGTCGTCCTCGTCGTCCTCGTCCGTGGGGTCCACCTCGAAGTCCTCGACCTCCGCCTCGGTGGCCATGGTGTCGCTCCTTTGGCCCAGTCCGCGGCCTCCCCGGAAGCCGTTCGACTGCGACGACGACTGCTGCTGCAGTTGAAAGTAGTCGTGGGCGTCTCCCCGAGAGCCCCTGGACCGGCTGCTCCCACTCAGGTGTCTGTAGGGGGCCGAGCTGGAGTTGCTGGTGGTGCTGAGCGAGTGGCGCTTGTTGGGACTCAGCTCCTGGACTCCGCTGCCGTTGGTGACCTCGCCGCCGTCGCTCTCACCCCCGCCTACACTGCCGCTGAAGGTGACCTCGTGGAACTTGGAGGACTTTCGGCGAGACCTGGGCGCCAGGCCTTCGTCATTTCCCAAGGAGATCGAGGGCCTCGTCTGGTTGTTGTTCTCCCTCTTCTCTTCCGGGTCACTGCGGTGGCTCTTGCCCTCCGGCATCAAAGTCAGGGCCAAAGCAGGCCGGCCGCGCTTTCGACTCCAGGGAAAGGCCCGTATGAATGCGAATATGATGAACAGCGTGGCTATCATTTTGGAGCACAACCCTGCCCGCGTTCTCTAGAAAATCGCACTTTCTCTAGAAAATCTCGAGCACATCCTTCGGCATTTTGATTAGTCGTTTTGGTATTTCGGTTCACTTTTTATCGATTAATTGTCTTCACTGGTTCGTAATTTTAGTTTTGATGGCGGTTTCGTTAAAGTTTTCTATTTTGCAATAAGAGAGAGAGAAAGGGAGAAGTTGACAGGAGGAGGTCGGGTTTAAAGATGGACTGCAGTTACCGGACACGTGGCAGAGGAAAATGGGAAAATCAGCTGGATAACTTTACTGCTGCTTTAGCTAATACTGTTGTAAATGGATATTTTATGAACTTTTTAAAAGATTCGTAGTTAAACACAAATTTAATTTGAAGGGACCTGATTTAACAGAATTCGTTACTAGCTGAAAAAATCACTGCAAACACTTGTTCGTTTTTGTTTAACGCACCTTCAGCATACAAGGATTTTGATATCAAGTTTTGTGAATACATTTTTTTTGCACAATTTTGATGGCAGCTCAATAATAATATTATAATCATTGCACAATTATAGCACATCCACATGCAACTTTTCCTTTGGTTACTTGAGTGGCTTATTGCTGATGGCGTTCTTTTTCCCCTATTTGGAAAGACAACAAAGATGCCTGTTCTGTATGGGAGCTGTGCAGAGAGCACAGGATAAGAGCAACAACAAGGGCATTAAGGACCCTCAGAGGAGCTTTTGTTTTTGCCTGTGCGGCTTACCCAACTGATGATTCTCCCCACACTTTCCTCCATCATCTTGCACGCCCCAGCTGTTGACCTAAACAAGCTAATTTTTAGTTCAGTCATAATTGATATGATTTAACAATGAATCGGCGATACCGAGAGGCGAACCCCAGGACCGAGATGACGTGAGAAAGAATACGCAGGTTTTCCGAAAAGAAAAACCACGATTTGTGCTGTCAATTTCTAAAATATACAACTAAAAAATCTTTGGTGCGAATAACTGATAACTTCTATTGGGTTGGCAAGAAAGTAATGTCGTTTTTTTAGTAATCGTTTTTAATCTAATTTATTTACGACTAATCGAGCACCAGGGTCACACTTTTTAGTATCGTTTTAAAGCTTATTGTCTTAGATACATACTATCGACGAAAATTTGGTAATTATTCGATAACATTTGTGGAAGCTATAGCAAATTAAACATGGAGGACCAAAGTGAGCATTTTCGGCATATTTTGCTTTTTTACTTCCAAAAAGGAAAAAAAGCTGTCAAAGCTCGCGAAAAATTGTGCAAAGTGTATGGTAAAGATGCCATGAGTGATCACCAATGTCAGCGCTGGTTTGCCAAATTCAGGCTTGGAGATTTTGGAGTTAAAGACGCCCCACGTTCTGATCGACCATCGGCCGTTTTTGACGAACAAATTCAGGCTTTGCTGGATGAAAACCGGCGTTATTCAACGCGGGAGATGTCAGAGAAGCTCAGTGTGTCGCATACAACGGTTGAAAACCATTTGAAGAAACTTGGCTACGTAAGCAAGCTCGATGTTTGGGTTCCGCATAACTTAAAGAAAATTCACCTTAGTAAGCGTATCAACATCTGCTATTCTCTGCTGCAACGGATTAAAAACGATCCTTTTTTGAAGCGGATCATTACTGGCGACGAAAAGTGGGTTGTTTACAATAATGTCCAACGAAAAAGATCATGGAGCAAGAAAGATGAGCCAGCCCAAGCCACACCAAAGGCCGATATCCATCAGAGGAAAGTTATGCTGTCTGTTTGGTGGAATTGGAAGGGTGTAGTGCACTTTGAGCTGCTGGGACGGAATGAAACCATCAATTCAGATGTGTACTGTCGCCAGCTATTCAATTTGGCGGAAAAAATTAAAGAAAAGGAGCCGGCACTAGCTAATCGCAAAGGTATAGTCTTTCACCATGACAACGCTAGGCCCCACACATCTTTGGTCACTCGGCAAAAATTAACGGAGCTGAATTGGGAAGTGCTACCACATCCACCTTATAGTCCGGACTTACAGCCATGGACAGATAAATAGCACAAATCAGTCAAAGAGGAGTAATGTCCAATATGTTATCGAAAACGCAGCCTATCGGGATAAAGGATATAGTGATTCCATAGTTTATTAAGTAAACTCTGTAATAACTAAAAAATAGTAAATTATTTGACGATAGAACAAAGTTTATAGCTTTTTTTGTCGAAGAGCCTCCAAATCGCATGGACACATAAATAGCACAACATTTTGAAAAATTTTCTTTTTTTAAACCGGATGTCCTTTTCGTCTTTAGTTGGTGTTGAATCCTTCGTAAAGCTCTACCGCTTCACACCTTTGGCTTATCCTTCCCACCAGCTTTCGACAAGAGTCCTTGCAGATAGATTTTGAAACTTCTTGGATTCCTGCACAAAATGCATCCAAATTTTAAAATTTCTCATTACTAATTCAAAATTTTTCTGTGATGCAGACGCTTAATATGGTATTCTGATTCAATTTTTGGTTCGGCCAATCCAAAATATCAATTTTTTCGTCCTACAGCCATTTTTTAACGACTCCAGCAGTGTCCTTTGAGTCGTTAAATTGCATAAAAGTCCCTTATACCGGCATATTTTAAATAACCAATAGCTCAATTTCCTTCGGCAGGATATCCAAGTTCTGTAATCGACCCATTAAGCCATTGGATGAGACTATTGGGTCAAAGCCAGGTCAGGAAAACGCAACCCAAACCATCATTTTTCCTTCTGCATGTTTGATGGTTTTGGTAGTACATCTGTGGTTCAGGAATTGGACTTTAGGGCGACTAATAATGGTTTTTCCATCAAGTTCTACCCTATTTATACTAATTTCATCGGTTCCAAGTTCATTCCTCCATAAACTCATTGACTCGTTCCTGTGCGCCATAGCAAAAGTTTAGATTTTTTCGATGTGGGGCTTTGTCAAGTATGGCGTTTTTTTTCCAATGCGTTAAAAAAGTGAAACTTCGTTTATTCTTCTTGAAACCAGTTCTCTGGACACATTGAGGTTATATTCTGTGGTAGAATCATGTCCAATTTGACAAAAATTTAAAATAGGATCAAGTTTTGTCTCCCGCACTGTGAGTCATTCGGTGTGTTCGATCGTTTCTCAAGAAAATTTTTCCGAATTTGGTTTTTAATCGTATAATAGTTACTCTGCCTTTCTATTTTGTTGACAATAATAACAATTTTTGCAGATAATTTTTAAATTTCTGCAATTTCAGCAACGGTTTTGCCGGATTCACTAAGTTCATTACTAAATGTCCTTTTTTGAGAGTACAATGTATAACGCGGCTAATTTTTTCACGAAAATAGTTCAATTAAGGCTCATCTTTAATAAATATAACAAAAAAAAATTAGTATTAAATTTTTACCCTTTGAAAAATACGTGTAAGACCAATGTGTGCTATTTAAGTGACCACATCAAATGGAAGCTGATGTGTTCAAACCATAATAAAAAAGCAATGACAAAATGTAATAAAATTTTGTTTGGCACAATTTGATAAGCAAAAGTACGGAATATATAAGACCTCAAATAATCCAGAGAAAGCTCGCTTAATAACAAAATAAATTGAAGAAAACATTTGATTTTACATTTGTGCTATTTATCTGTCCATGGCTGTAGCACCTTCAGATTACCATTTGTTTCGCTCTCTTCAAAACTCTTTGAATGGTAAAAACTTTGATTCAGATGAGGCTGTCGAAAACCACTTGTCTCGATTCTTTGCTGGAAAAGACCAAAAGTTCTTCGAGCGCGGAATTATGCAGCTGCCCGAGAGATGGTCATTAGTGGTCGAACAAAACGGCCAATACATAATTGATTAATTATAAGTCCTGATATAAATAAATCATCTTTGAAAATATTGAAAAAAAACGACATGACTTTCTTGCCAACCCAATAGATAGTTAAAAGTGAAATTTGAACAACTGGACTGCGTTTTATTAAAGTTAACATAAGGCAACGAGGACAGGAAGCGTAAAAATTTTAATAGG